ACACATAGTGAAAGGGTTCAACCATGATCATAATAGTGTAATGGATATAGACTTTTGAGATGAACAAATAATTTTAAAATAATAATAACAATAGTAACAATAATAATAAACCTTTACTGCACTCGGATAAATATGTGTAGAATTATGTAACAGTATACAGAGTGAAACCGGGTTGTTGTATAATAATAATAATAATAATAATAATAATAATAATAATATATTTCTGCATTAGCAGGTACACGCCATTTTTACAGGCATGATCTACAATATACAACATATACTGGTTCACAGTATGCATCCCAAACAAGGTTGTTTAGTAATTATAATCTATAAAAGTTGATAGCAGTTCATTCGTTCAGATATAATGTGTTTTCATAAGAATAGTTTCCAAAGGGGCATAGCGTCCACGTTATATACCAGATCCAATCTCGACAAAAAGTGTAATAGGGTTTCGGTAGTTCTAAGTATTTATGTAATGCAGCTTTTTAAGTTTATAGTTGTTATAAAGTAGGCTTGTGGAGCGCCTGGTTTGAGCTATGACCTTGGGAAAGCGCGTTCGTCAAGCTTTTTCCAGATGTCAGAAGTTACATAGCTTCACCCTCAGAGCAAGATTCTGAAGAGAAAAAATAAAAGAGAAACCGAGGAGCAGCAAGGCATTTGGATATGAGCGATAATCAATGCTTAACATTTATTAGTGGAACAGATGGAGGTATGATAAATTATTAGATTAAATTGATACTAGCTCATGTTGCAAGAGTAAACTGCGATTAGGGGCTCCAGAAGAGAGAAGGCAGTAATAAAGAACAATAAGTTGTTATATTTATCAAGGTGGAGTAGGTTCCAATGAAGGAGGGAAGTCATTGGAATGAGGAAGAACAGAGAGTGCATATAGAGAGTAGTGTTAAGTAAAATAGAAACCATATCCTTTACAGTCAGTTTTTTTTTCTTTTCTCATCCGATGCCTGCCACACAGTGTTCATGTAAAAAGTCCGAGTTAGCATGTTAAAGGTTGTCTTAGTAGAATAGTTAATCCAGCACAAAAATTGGAAACATGAGTCTTAATGGTGAGTGTAGGTGAACAATCTCAATATCACAGATCTATTGACTTGTTCTCATCCATAAAGAGCCTGATACAAACAAAATGTTCTGCCCCACAAACACGGGTGGATTGAAATCATCGCCCACACCATCAGTGCTTGCTGGTCAGTAACTCCACCCTCCCTCCTTTTGTGATGTTAGGCTCATTTACGATTATTTTTTGGATACATATCATACCTCACACAATGCTCTGTGTTTCACATCCTGTTGGAAAACACTATTTCTATAAGTACCATGTTACAAGCTTATCAGGCAGTTACAAATTATGGACTGTGGGTAAGGCTTCGATGCTATGTTTTTATTGACTATATAGTGAAGTGTAGGTTACGAATCAGAGTATAGGCATTAGGAAGGATATAGTGTAGAATATTTCTTTACCATAGTAGGCAGAAAAATGGAGATTTATATTAGTTACAGATAAGGTAAGATAACGAGTGGTGAAATAATATTGATGGCAAGGCAACATAGTGTACAGATGAGTAAAAAACTGATAAATAGACAAGAAGTAACTCACACTAAATTCGCGCTGAGGTTGTTTTGTTCTATGCTAACCGGTTGATGGGTGGCAGTAGTCAGTCGATTGTGCGTTTCTTCTGGTGTTTTAGGGTATTTATAGGCGTCGTTTAGCGACCGAGTATTGATAGATCCAGTGAGTTGCCTGTCTACTTCAATTGAAAAGAATTAATGAGGGGAAAGTATCTAATACAACTACAAGGTAGGGAAATAAGGCGATTCAGTCTATATATGTAGAGAGCCTATGATGTCTGTGTGGGACGTGAATGTGTTCGTTTGCACCAGATCTATGCTGGTGAGGGGTTGATTAATGAGTCTTGTAAACGTATGTAATTTGTCTGCCATGCGTACTTCAGAAGGCAGACTGTTCCATATCAATGCGTACTTGATAAGGAAGAAGTTTTCACGTGTTTTTGATCTGTGTTTTTCAATTTTGACAGTGGATACTTTGTCTCGAAGGTTGTATCCATGTGAGTCTTGGTAGAGAGCTATATTACATGTGGAATAAGTAAGGTTTTTAAGGAGTTTAAAATAAAGAATTAAGTTAGACCTAAGCCTTCTTTTCCAGAGGGGTTCTAGTCCTAAGATATGGCATCTGGATTTGTAGTCAGTGAGTTGGTCATTCTTAAGTATTTTGCGAGTGAAGTCTCGCTGTATTCCTTCCACCTTAAGTATATCAGATAGGCGTAGGTTGGAAAATAAGAACGAGCAGTATTCGACGATGGGTCTTACGCAGGTTTTATACAGGATGATTTTAGTTTCCTTTTGAAAGAAATTACGAAGGATGAAGCCAAGCAATCTCCGTGTTTGAGATGCTTTAGTTGAAATATGTTCAGAGAAGTTAAGACTGTCGGAGTAATGTACCCCAAGGTCAGTTACTGATGTCAGTCTGAGCAGTGGGTTTTTGTTAAGTGCTAGTTTTAATTTAAGTGACGTGTTACCAATACATAGCCCACCGCATTTCTCTGTGTTGAGCTCTAGCCCCCAGCGTTTGCACCAGTCGTCTACTTTGTTGAGTTCATGTTGGATCGTTTGCATAGTACTTCGTACATCACCAACGTCAGTTTTATAGATGACTTTTAAGTCATCAGCGTAAAGGTAGGTCTTACCTGTAGTAAAGCACTTGCATATATTGTTGATATAAATTATAAAGAGCAATGGGCCCAAGACACTACCCTGCACAACACCACTGGTTATTGGTCGAGGTGTAGATGTTGTAGAGTTAAGCTTGGTTATTTGGTATCTGTTTGTGAGGAAAGACTTAATCCATTGCAATAGGGGGTTTGTAATTCCAACTGACTGGAGTCTGTTGATTAGAAGATTATGGGGTACTTTATCAAAGGCTTTCTTTATATCGAAATAAAGTATAATCACTAGCTTTTTCTGGTAACGTATGCGAGTAACCTCGTTAAAGAAGTCTATCAGACATGTACTACATGATCTTGTTCTAATGAAACCATGTTGTGTTGGGTCTATTAGTTCTTCCTTAAGTAGGTGATCTGATAGTTGACTTTGTATCACTTTTTCCATTATGCGCGAAATAACGGGGGTAATATTTATAGGTCTGTAGTTTCCGACCAGGTTTCTCGGTCCTGATTTGTGTTTGGGAAGAACATACGTTACCTTCCAGGCTTCAGGATATGTACCCGCCTCTAAAGATAGTGTGTATATTTTGAGCAATAACGTATGTATATCCGGCCCCGACATTTTATAGAGAATTGATGGTATATCATCAACACCAGAGCTCGCATTCGGCTTAAGGGTTTTGATGGCGGTATGTATACTCCTAATGTCAAAGTTTATGGTGCTAATATAGCTTTTGCTTATGCATTTTATGTTAAAATCTGGGGCATTAGATGTATTCCCGTTTTGTGAAAACCATTCACTTAGCAGTTCGCATATGACGGTTTGGTCATAGTACGTCACGCCATCGTGCAGTAAAGAGTGAATGTTGTGATCTTTGTTCTTTCTCATCCGTTTTTCAAGGAGCCGACATAAGTTTTGGACTTTAGATGCAGCTGTGAGCGCAGTACGTTCTTCTGTCTGTTTGTTTTTGTTGTGATGACTTTGCACTCCTTCAAGTACTGAGTATACCTGGTGCAGGGCACTAAAGTCTTTTGATGTAAAGTACGTCTTTCTTAGTTTTCGTAGCTTAGACTTAGCCTTTTGGTTGATGTAGGGAGCAATTGTTTTGAAAGCAATTTTAGAAGGGATGGTAGTGTCTAGTGCAGATTTGGTGGTAGTATTGAATATTTCCAGTGTTTCTAAAAGGTTATCACTGGTGAAGAAAGTGTTCCAGTCAGAATGCTTTATAAGAAACCGAAAGTTACTCCAGTCGGCGTTTGTATAGTCTCTATATTGGAAACACGTATTTAATGTCTTTAATTTTTTGCGCTTGGCAAGAATCGGAAGGGTGCAGAAGACTATTTTATGATCGCTATTATGGAACTTCTCGCCAACCACCATTGATGCTGGTGTGACATTGTGACAGAATATTAAATCAAGAATGTTGTGGTTTCGGGTAGGCAGGTTAACATGTTGCTGCCAACCGTGTATGTCTAAGGACCTTAGTATTCCTTCGTAGCACGGTGGGCCAGAATGTGTCTTCCAGTTGATGGTTGGAAGGTTGAAATCACCACAGACAATTTTGTAGGCGAAGTCAAGCGAGGCAGCCTTAGCAAATGACTCACTTATAATGGTGTCAGTCAGACTGGGGGTATTCGGAGCTCGATATATACATCCGATTAGTATTTTACATTCAAGGCTGTGTACAGTAAGCCACATCGAATCTGGTACTTTACTGAGGATATGATCACTAAAGATTTCCGTCCTCATGTTTTTTGATGCATATATGAGACAACCGCCACCCTTCTTGGTGACTCGGTCACAGCGGAAGAGCTCATACGTGTCTATTTGGAGGTACGTGTCTGTGATATCGGAGGACAACCAACTTTCCGTTATCAAAACAAGTGAGGGGTTGTGTAAAAGTAATAGGGCGCGTAGTTGAGTCATCTTATTCTGAATAGATCGGGCATTAATTAACATTAGTGTCAGGAAGGATGAGTGTTTGTCTAATAAAATGGTGTGCTGTAAACCCTGTGGTTTGTCGCTTTTACTATGAGAAGAGGAAAAAGTGGGAGTATTGGCTCTACGTTCTTGTTTGTTTAGTTTAATACCAGCATAGTTAACGGGAGAAAGGTGGTCGTAGGTTATTTTGGCGAAAGAAGTATGTTCACGAGTGTTGGGTAGAATCGGGTGAGTTAAATGGATAGGCGGTGTATTCGGGGGGTGATCATGTTCCGTCAAGGAGCTTTTAAGACGAGAGACAGTTATCGACGGTGATAAAGATGTGTCACTCCCCATCAGGTCGGAGTATATAGAAGGCGGTCTCAGAATAGTGGAATTGTCGCCCTCAACATTTGGAGACCCCATAGCAATACTGTTGAGGGGGAGAGAGATAAAAAAGGATGAGGTGGTGTGTGTGCCAAATTAGGGGAGATCAGAGAGTTATAAAAGGTGGTTTGGTTCTGGTAGTATTTAGAATCGATAGGTGGGTCCCCAAGCAGGCCAACATTATGGTTGTCTTGTGTGCAGTGGGGTGTTCTACTCCTGTTACGGGTAGTTAGGGGAGTTGTATGTTTCAAATAATTATTGCATGATTGTCTGACATTGTTGCCGGGGATGGTGTTCCTGTTGTGTGGGCTGTGCTGATTCCTGTAACCTGCATGTTTTAAGCTATATGGCTTATTGGCATCATGCGTAAGTGTGGTTTTTGTCGGGCGTAACCTCACGTTAGGATATGGGGGTACTGCCAGTTCATTATGCTTGTTGTAATGCATTCGACTACTATGAGTAGGTGCGTGTTGTGTATTGAGAGATCTGGAGTACTTATGGGTGTTTAGAGAGAATTTGGTATTATTTCGCATTACAGTGTTTGGGTGGTTATAGCTATTAGAGCGATCGATGTGAGGCTTGGGTTTTGGCTTTTCATCAGAGCCACAAGAAGAGTGTTTTGAAACTGTAGATGCATAGGTGGGTGGGCATTTTGTTGTAGTTGAGTGTTTGGGTTTAGGGTGAATGGTTACAGCTGCCTGGTGTCTAGTCTTGTTCTTAGGACTAGTAGCAGTATGCGGCGTGCCTCCGTTTTTGGGAGGGGTGGGGTATGGTGTTTTAGGGATAGCGCTATGGCCAACGTTGTAACTGCCGCTACCACGTAGGCTGGGTTGATTGTTTTGCACTTCATTGGAGTTTCGACGTTGGATGGCAGTCTTGTCATGGGTGATTCTAACTTTCTTAAAGGTTGGAATGCGCCTCAGTAAAGACTGGCTTTTAAGGAGGTGATTGGCTTCTATGATACTACCAAACTGAAATAGAATGGGACAAGAGGCTTTAGTCTGTGTTTTACGTAATCTTCTCGCTACACACCAAGATTGCGACAGTCCACATTCTTGTAGTAGAGTATTTTTAGCAAGCTTTAGATTCGTACTATCAGGTACATTATACGCAATGACATTGTGCATACACTGAAGTCTTTTCAGCACTTCAGCTGATATGAGGTCAATTATTTTTTCAGTGTTTTTTATAATTTCGAGATCAGGATTTTCCGGAACACTGATTAGGTATTTATACGGTAATAGGTCTTGAATAGTTTGGGTGAGGCTAGATTTTATTTGACTGCTTTTAGAACTATCACTGGTGAGATTATTAGAGTCTATATCAACATTATTATGGTTCATTTGGTTGCATAAACATTTGTTGCAACTGTCTACCGGGTGGTCATCTTGTGCGTACTTAGTTGGGGGATAAGGTATATGTTTGGGTGAGTAGTCGAGATCTACATTATTAGGCTGGCTACTGTAAGTGGGCTTATGTGCACTCTGTTGGCCATTACACAGGATGACCGATTGTGGATTTATTGTGTGTATGGGGTCAACCGCACTGTCTAAATACCGCTCACAACGTGTAATGTGTGGGCTGTCAAATGATGTCGGGGTAGGCGGTAGGTGATTACTCTTATTTATATCTACAAGCGAGATGCAAGGTAGTGACAGGTCATGTCCAAGTACATGGTGCACGTCTAGTGTAGCTGTAGGAAGATCAGAGTATGATGCAGACTGATCAGTGTGTTTAGAAAGCTTCACATTATTCGCGTGAGTGGTGGATTTAGATCTTTTGCACGTGCTATGAGCATCAGGAGAGATTATGTGCTTTTTAGATGACCTGGACATTATTAGAAGTAATGTAAATATAAATTTTGTATTGGGTGAGCAGCGACTGCTGTATCTTTACTTACTAGATGTGTAAAGTTTTATGGTAGAGTCAGATCAATATTTGCTAATAGCTAATATATTAACGATAGTGAAAGAGGAAAGGTGGACAGCGTGTGAAATAGTGAGCTTAATGTACTACGTTGAATCACAGGATGGGGTGTCAAATTAATAGAGCCCTATCAGAAATGAAGTATTTTTTCACTAATAAATGTTGTAAATTAGAAGGAAACACTAATAATAATAAAAAGTACAACCACGTGAAAAAAAGTTACAACCTTCAAAAGAAGCGCCAGATATAAAACGTGTGAGTGCATGTCGAAAATACACTCGTACTTGCGTAAGAACACAAGATGAGCGGAAAAAAAAACTAATACACTTACAAACAGCGTGAAAGCGATCGGAAAATAAAAGGTTTTTTTGGTTTTTTTATAAAAAAAATATATATACGCTCAAAAAAATAAATATGTTTTGTTTTTGTTTTGTTTTTTATATAAATAAACAAAATGAGCATGTTAAAAAATTTTTATAGTAAACTATGAAAGGGTAATTCAAGATAAAGCTTATGTACTACATGCAATATTCGTTAAGATGTTCTGGAAATCTTACTCGTCTTCCAGAACGCGTTGTTTTAGGTTTATCTATCGATGTTGACGAAGTATCAAGTTGTGTGTCGGTTGTCGTGTATGGTACTACGAGTGTAGTGGCTGTGTCGTTTGCTTGTACCGAAGGAAAATCGACGTAGCTAGGGTTTCCTTCTAAGTACGCTGCTTTGAGTCGATCGATACCGATGCTATCGTTCGTACCGTTCTTATCTACTACATAGTACTTAGGTTCGCGTTGAAGAACTTTGAAAGGTCCTTCGTATGCTGATTCGAGGGGTCGTCGATGTGAGTCTCGACAAACGAAGACGCGTGTACTATGTCGTAATTCGGGTTGAACGAAAACATCAGTTGATTGAGGTCGAGTGTGAGCAGGTTTAACTGAACGCATAGCGTTTGTAAGCCTACTCGTGTAAGAGTTTAGATCCATGTTCAATGAAGAAACTGAAGGATCTACGAATTCTCCTGTGAGTCGGAGTGTCGTCCCGTAAACGAGTTGAGATGCCGTGTATCCAATGTCAGCTTTCACTGCATTGCGGATACCTAGCAAGACGAGTGGAAGATCGTCTGTCCACTGTGAAACGTTTGAAGCTGATAATGAAGCTTTTAGTTGTCGATGAAAATGTTCTACCAACCCGTTTGCTTGTGGGTGGTAGGCAGTCGTTCGGAAGCGCGTGATTCCTAATAGTAATAATAAATAAGGTTCTGTGTAATTAGCAAGAATTTTGAACTGATTTTGAAGGAGGAAAGGAAGAAACTAAGGAAATAGAAATAAAGGAGACGCGGGAGACGTAAATATCTTAACGCAGAACAAGAATAAACAACTATGTATGTATAGCAAAAACGAGTAATAAAAATAAAATAAAACAAAATAAATTAAAAAGTAAATAACTTATTATTGCAGTAAGATATGACGTTAGAATAAGTGTTTGTGCGAGCACAGTCATAGTTTTGGGTGATGCTCTGAAAGTTTCAATTAAGTGCAAAAGATAATCAATGTGTATGAGGTGTATATACATAGTGAAGATAAAAAGAGACTGATAAGTTTTAATTCAGCGTAACACAAGTTATTGCCTTAATCCAAAGCTTCGTAATCTTAAGAATAATATTTATTTAGAAGGAAAAAAAAGGAGAGAGTAAAGAAATGAACACATAGTGAAAGGGTTCAACCATGATCATAATAGTGTAATGGATATAGACTTTTGAGATGAACAAATAATTTTAAAATAATAATAACAATAGTAACAATAATAATAAACCTTTACTGCACTCGGATAAATATGTGTAGAATTATGTAACAGTATACAGAGTGAAACCGGTTTGTAGTATAAACATTAGTGCGATAATAATAATTTACAATGATGCTATCATAGTCACAATTAATTGCAAAGAATAATTAAATATAAATTTTTTATATGTTATATGTTGTAAATATTTTGAAAAAAATGAAAAAAATTTTTATTTAATTGGAACATAGGGTTTTTTTGTTTTTAATTGTAGACTTTGGATAAAATATGTTTAGAAAGACAAGAAGAGATTAAATGAATATCTAATGTGTCGAAAGACCAATAATGATATTAATAACAGTAATAATTATAAATACGAACATAAGCAGACTTTATATATTCAGATAAATATAAAATGAAGTGAAAAGTTTCAAAGGTTTCACTTCGATTTTCAGTCAGTTAGATAGATGACGGACCATTTTTGTATAAATCGTTGTTAAGCACGTTAATATTCAAAAGGTGACACAATCCACTTTCGGAGAGAAAGTCATCAAGAAGACTTCGGAACCGGATTATAGTTTCACTGCATCGGAGGTTCATTGCTAGTCTATTCCAGATGGTTGAGTAGCGAATAACGAAAAAATTCTGGCGTAAATTTGTTTGGGTTTTTGGAATCGCTATAATATTTTCCTTATTGCGTAGATTGTGGGACGGTATCATAGAGTATGATGGGGTAGATAGCGAAGAGTAGGAAATACCGTTAAGAAGCCGGTAGAGAAAAATAAGGTTTAGTTTGATACGCCTGATCCAGAGAGGTTCTAGTTTGAGTTGTTGACATCTTTGGTGATAGTCTTTGTTGCCAGAATACCCCAAAACAGCTTTGGTGAACCTTCTTTGAACACTTTCAATTTTAATCAGGTCATTATGCCTGCAGTTACTGTAAACTAAGATACCATATTCAAGAATTGGTAAGATACATTTTCTGTATAATAATAATCTCGATTCGGTATTATTAAAATTAATCATTATGAATCCGATGGGCTTTCTAGCTTTGGATACTTGAGATGCAATGTGTTCCGAAAAGTTCAAACTGTCGCTGTATCTTAAACCCAAGTCACGTACAGTGTTTAGAGGTTTCAGTGTATGTTTGTGTATAGCCAGATTTAAGTTAAGGCAACGGCCAATGTTAATAAATCCACTTTTGTCAACATTAAGTGGCAAATTCCATGAAATAGTCCATTCGTACAACTTGTTTATTTCTTCTTGGATTACTGTTGAAATATAGCTTTCTTTTGTGGGAGATGAGAATGAATAAACCACTTTTAGATCATCGGCAAAAAGAAAAGGTTTACCATATTGAAAGAGGGAACAAACGTCGTTGATAAAAAGGAGAAATAGTAATGGACCAATTACACTTCCTTGTATAACCCCACTGGTTACATTCACAGGTTTAGAGTAGCAAGATCCAAAGCGGACAATTTGGCTACGTTCTTCTAAAAATGACTTGAGCCAAGATAAAAGGGAATTCTGTATTCCATATGAAGAGAGTTTTAGAAGAAGAAGCTTGCGTGGGACGCTGTCGAAAGCCTTACTAAAGTCGAAGTACAAAATTATAACAGACTGACCAACATCTCTTCTCTGGGTAATTTGATCAAAAAATTCCAGATGCGATGTGAAGCAGGAGCGTTTGGTCATAAACCCGTGTTGGGATGGGCTGATCAGATTAGCCGAAAGCAAAAATGGTAATAGCTGTTTGTGGACTATTTTTTCCATAGTTCTTGACAGCACGGATGTCAAATTAATTGGTCTGTAGTTAGCAATATCACCTCGTGATCCGGTTTTGAATCTGGGGGTGATAAGAGATGTTTTCCATGCAGATGGATAGGCCCCATATTCCATAGACAGAGGAGCGTGCCCACTCCCTCACGTCTTTATTCATGCCAGGCCAACAAAAGCGTTCGGCTATAAGTTTGACTGTTACACGAGCACCTGGATGAGAAAGACTGTGCAACGTATTGAAGACGTTGCGGCGATAATGTTTTGGTACAATTGGACGATCCCTACCTGTAGATGTGTCACAAAGTAAGGTTTCCTTACCTGTTCCCATCTGCTTAATACTTAGTTTTAGAGTTGTCGAGGATAACTCATGCTGAAGATCAATGTCTTCTTTTTGAAGCTGAGCGAGTTTAAGAAGGTCGATTCCTTGGAAACCGTTCAAGGAACTTATTCGGGACAAGGCGTCTGCGACTACATTGTTAGCTCCAGAAATGTGTTGTATGTCTGAAGTAAACTGCGAAATGTAGTCGAGTTGTCGAGACTCTCGCGGTGAGTACTTGTCTGAAGATGAATTTAAAGAGAAGGTAAGAGGTTTGTGATCGGTAAAAAGCGTGAATTCTCTTCCTTCGATGGAACGTTGGAAATGCCGTACAGCACAATAGATAGCTAGGAGTTCCCTACCGAACGTGCTGTACCTAGATTCCGCGTCTAGCAACCGTCTCGAGAAAAATCCTAAAGGTTGCCACGAGTTGTTAACCCATTGTTGTAAGACTCCTCGGATTGCTGAGTCGGATGAGTCTACGGCGATACTAATGAGCGCTTGAGTGCCCTGATGAGCAAGCAGGGTTGCCTTAGCGATGTGTTCCTTAACTGTGGAGAATGCTTTACGGGCTCTGTCGTCTAAACTGATTGATTTCGCATTTCAAGGAAGCTGATCGGTTAACGGTTTCATAAGGGATGCGCATTTGGGTATGAACCGTCTATAGAAACTTACAAGTCCGTTAAAAGTTCGTAAGTGCTTGATCGTGGTCGGTTCTGGGTAATCCAGAATGGCCGCCACTTTGCTTCTTAGGGGTCGGATGCCTTGGGCATCAATAGTGTGTCCTGGGAAGTCTAAGGAGTTTGTTCCGATTTGGCATTTCTGTAGGTTGACAGTAATGCCATGCCTTTGGAGTCGATCGAAAACAATGTCCAGGTGCTTGAGATGCGATTCTCTGTCCGGACTTGCTATTAGACAGTCATCAACATACGCATGTACGAAGTTGAGACCTCGAAAGACGTCGTCTATAAACCTTTGGAAGGTTTGAGCCGCGTTTCTTAAACCAAAAGGCATTCGCAAGAATTCGTAAAGACCGAAGGGAGTGATGATGGCGGTTTTAGAAACGTCGTCAGGTGCCATCGGTATTTGGTTATACGCCTTAACCAAGTCGATTTTCGAAAAGACAGTTATACCTTTCAAAGTAGCTGTCAAATCGTGAATATGAGGCAATGGGTAACGATCGGGAATGGTTTTAGCATTCAGACGCCGATAATCACCGGTTGGCCGCCAATCATTGCTGTCCTTTTAAGGGACCGTGTGTAATGGGGATGCCCATGGACTATTCGACGGTCGAATTATCCCTAAGTCTATCATATGATCGAATTCGTTTTTGGCTAATCTAAGTTTTTCGGGAGCGAGTCGACGGGCTTTCGAAAATACAGGTGGTCCTGTAGTCGAGATGTGATGTGTAACATTGCTGGTTACACAAGGCAATTTCGATTGCGATTGGTGTATCCAGGGGTATTTTTCGAGTACTGATTGGTACAAGGGGTCTATGATGTGCTTAATCGTGACTGGGGATAACCTGCAACCAGAACAAGGAGTTACGCAAACAGATAGTTTAGTGTTTCCATCTATTAACCTTCGTGAGCGTGTGTCGATCAGTAGATTGTGGTGTTGTAACAGGTCTATACCAATGATTGGCATGGAGACATCTGCAACCACGAAAATTCGGTGTCTGGGTTTGCGTAAACCCACGTTAAGGTAGACGTACCTTTTACCGTAAGTAGCGATTGGCTTTCCGTTTGCCGCCTGTAAACTTAAAACAGACTCGCGAAGTCTGTCGTCGGGATTTGCTGGAAGAACGCTAACTTCTGCGCCAGTGTCGACGAGGTAGCGAACTTTCGTAGTCACATCCGTGACATATAAGAGGCGGCTGTGTTCGCCGGCTACGGTTGCCGTTAACGCGTGCCGGCTGGGAAGTTTCCCAAAATCTTATTCGTATCAGTCGATTTTGAGGTCGGATAATTGCAAGGTTTCCTGCAATTTCTGGAAAACTTACTGTACTGGTTATGATACCAGCACCAGTCGGGATTGTCTGTCTCTCGTGTTCGAGAGCCAGATAGCTTACGTGAGACTCTTCCACGCGGGGTTTTTGACCAACTACGGTCATTGCGAACTCTAAGATATCGTGTAAGCGTGTGACATAGTTCGGCCATGTCAGTCGAGGTCGATTGGGGTTTTTCTTTGATGGAAAAAAACTCGGCCTAAAAAATTTGGTGATTTCCAAGATTCGATCGGCAGATGCAGCTAGTTCATCTGTGGCATTGTTTTGAAATGAAACAAGCACTGCCTGCACCTGTTGAGGGAGTTTAGACAAGAAAAGTTGTCTAAATAGGCCATCATCGAAAGTTCGTTGGCCGATGACTTCTCTCATTCTAAGCAACATGTCCGTCGCAGAACCATGTTACAAGTCGATATTGTTAAGGAGTTGGTCTAACCGTTGTCGATCAGTTAAGTCTCCTCGTTTTAAAATCGATAGCTTAAGCGTTTCGTAAGGTTCGGGAACATCACTAGTAAACATACTAGGTGTTACGTACCTGTTAAACTCGCGCGGTAACGCCTTAACTACCGCGAGGAAACGTGTGCGCGTGTTCGTGATTCCGTGCATGCAAAAATCGGCTTCTGCATAGCAGAACCAGGACTCGATATTGTCGGGCCAAAATGGCGTTAACTGAATCGAAATAGGGGGAATAGACTTCAACTTAAGAATCTTAGGAGAGTGTTCCGTCATAGTAATATAGATAACGAAAAATGTCTAATTAAAATATATCCGAGAAAAAAAATTCGCGAAAAAAAACAGTATATCACAACAAATAAAATTCAAATAAACGATAACAATGAATAATAATATTCCAAAATGGAACAGACTCACAGTATATTGGATTGGTGTACCAGATCACGTCGGTCTCACCACTGAGGATACCACGGATATTCTAGTTTGGCAACTAGCAACTAGTAGTATCTTCTATAATCGTTCTTTCCCAGTCGAATAGAAACCAGAAGTCAGATGAGGAGAGGTAGGAAAGATATATTTGATGCGTTACCAATATATCGAGGAACCTTTACTATAAGCTTGTTAATGAACGTAGGAGCTGTGTCCCACGCCGTGTTGAAACGTGATCTGGTACGGATGCATGACCGAAAGCCTTCAGTTAAACAAGTCCACTTAAACAACGTGGTCAGCATCCAATGACGAACACTTAATGAGCTATTGATTTTGAGGAATTATTTACTGCTACATTTATTCGTGAATACATTTGACAAAATAAGCAGATTTCTAAAGCACCATAATATATTCAGGAACCATTATACGCATTTCTGACGAAAACAGCCCAGAAAAATCCGTCTGATAGTTTGAACTACCAAAGTTCGATAACCAAAGATGACCATTTTTCACTAAAAAGTGAACTAACATACTATTTCTTTCCATATGGCTTCTGTTCTTATTCTATACTTATATAGCTCTCTAAAAATACACAAGATTAAAGCTACTCTCTTTCATAATATCTACAGCAATTTTCAAAGTTGTCTATTGAAATTGAATGTTGTTGGAGTGCACTTTTTAGATACCACAAACAGTTGAGCGCGTAAAGGTGAAGGCATGGTAAGATTTCCTTGTTCGCATTATTCTCCAGGCCATTGTAAAACTCGTTAAGAACAAGGCTTATTTTAAACGCTTTCAAGTCAAATTCAAGAGGCGAAGAGGTAAGAAATGTGTTAAGCGTACCATACACTTCAATATGTAGAGGGAAAAACTGACTACTATGCTCGCAAACGTCTGATTTGGCAGGATAAAAACAAATATAATACACCTAAATACCGTCTGGTGGTCCGTTTTACAAATAAGGACATAATCTGTCAGGTTAGTGTTTAACTTTATTTACTGATGTCAACTAGATTATCTATGCACGCATTGATGGAGACCGTGTATTATGCTCCGCCTATTCTCACGAATTACCTCGATATGGCGTTAAGGTGGGACTGACTAATTATTCCGCCGCCTACTGTACTGGCCTCCTCTGTGCTAGGCGCGTATTAAAGCAACTAGGCTTGGATGGCCTGTATGCTGGAGCTGAGAAAGTTGATGGGCAAGAATATCATGTAGAATCTATTGACGGGGAAAAGTCTGCTTTCAGGTGTCATCTTGACATTGGTCTTGCAAGGACTTCATCGGGTGCCAACATTTTCGGAGCTCTTAAAGGGGCCGTAGATGGTGGTCTAGACATACCTTACTCACCTAGTAGATTCCCGGGTTACAACCAGGAGTCTAAAGAGTACAATGCTGAGGTTCATCGAGCCCGTATACTAGGTCATCATGTCGCCGAGTATATGAAACAACTTCAAGAGGAAAGCGAAACTGATTATCAGCGTCAGTTCAGTGGATACATAAAACATGGGATCACTGCTGATAAAATTGAGACAATGTACCTCTCAGCTCATGCAGCAATTCGAGCAGACCCCTCGCATGTAACCAAAGAAACAAGGGACGTCCAACGGAAGAGATTTAATCGCAGAAAATTGTCTTCCAAACAAAGAAAGGAACGTGTCCGACAGAAGAAGGCTCACTATCTCTCTCAGCTCAAAAAAGAAATAGCCGCTGCTGAATAGTTGTGTTATAATAAAATGTTGGTCCAGTATTCTTTAGTTTGGTCAACTCAGTTATTTGATCTGGTCTTCATATTAGGTTTGCCTTATATTTCATCTATGTTATTTTCCCCTTGACTAGCTAGTATTAATCATTTGGTCAATGTAGTTGGCCGATTTAGGTTCGCTATTTCGGGTTGTTTCGTTAGAAACCTGTTAGTTTGTATATTTACTACCCAAAATAAGCTTGGCAACATTAGTCTCTTAAGCAGATACGGTGATTTCAACGGTCAATCAACCAGCCAGGATACACGTGTCATAGTTGAGTAGGGTTGAGCTTCGTTCGGTTGGGAGAATTGCGTGGATGAATATTCCAGTCTACCAGCACCGTCATAAGATTTACTGTAATATATTCGCAAATTTTTAGTCACCAAATTGGGTATAAGTACTCTGGAAGGTGATTTTTGGTGGGAAAGAATAGATGCTGATGATATTTTTTTCCATTTTACATAAGTCAGCTGACATGCTCGCCAGCTAACCGGGAAATGTTATTCACTTGTAACAAATTATTCACCTCTCAGTTGTCTTGATGTTCTGTTCTATATATAACCTATACAAAGAGTAATTTAAATAAGCTTGACCTTTGCCTGAGTTTCTCACACAAAATCAGTTGGAGGTTACTGGACGCAAGGTAAGGTATTGGAGTTCCCAAATCGCTGCGTCGAGTTAAGACCTTACGTTTAGAATCCGTTAGCATCCTCCATAATGTGAAATGTCTTTTCAAAAGTTCTTGTTTATTATTACCCCCTATCAGTACAATTTAAAGGTACACGGAGCGAGCGTACTTATCTTTTGATTCATTGTTGAGGACTATTCATTTTCTCTTGGGGCCTGTTTCATGTTTTCAAATCTATATTAACTCACCACGCGAATTAGTCTAATAGGGGCGATTTAGTGTTCGTCGTGCTTAGTGATTTCACCAAAGGCGCTTGTTTTTCAGCCTTGAGAGTTCATGACTCAACTATGTTATCTTGAAGCTAGTAAGAACAAAGCATCACTTCAAGACCTGTGAAAGTTAGGATCTTCAACAGGAGACTTAGTCACTCACAAATTAGGGAGTTATCTTGTACAGTTATGTAGTATCATCAGCACGGTGCGAAAACTTCATCCTGCTTGAATCTGTTATGTATAAAGCCGTAAATGTAATATTTTGTCACGTTTTCTGTGTTGATTCTTGCGATCTATGACAATCCCAATCTGACTAGTTAAATGGTTTTGGATTATCGATTTAGAGGCTTGGTATAGCGCTTCAAAGTTCTTTAGGTTTATTATCTGAACAACTTATCACCCTAAGTGATTTAGTAGTTATCATGGTCGAAAGGGTATCAAATTACTGGCTGGCTTAACGAGGTATGGCAACTTAGACCTATGCATATATGTGCCTGGTTCTACGTAGTAACTGACTGGCTACTGGCACTTACTGCTTTCGCCTAGAGCGTTTTTTCCGAAGTAGAATAAGTTATTTTCCAGTCGGCAACCATTGTTACTCAACTTTATGTAGAATAATCCAAGGATCAGCAATTTCGAACTTCTAAGGTCAATGTCTTATTTACAAAAGTGCCCGTCTAAAATAAATGTGCCACTGCAGTTGCTTTCGTCTGATGTCTATTTAACTAAGTCCTAGTTAATATTTACTTCATCTTGTTTGGATCAGAGAATACTGTACTTAATATGTTTGAAATCATGATATAGATGGACACAGGTATGAAAATACACACATGCTACAAGAGGGAGTAGAGATTGTGAAGATATGAAGGTGCGCATAATTAATAGAAAAAAAGCATAATTAAGGATAAGTGAATAAAAGTAGGAAAAGCTAATGCAAGGACAAGTTCAGTTGAAAGAAAACCAACCTTAAAGGACTCCTAGTTAAAGAAGTTATTGAATGATGAATAAAGCAACAGATGGATCGCCGCTAGCTTCTATCCTGAGACGTGTCTGATAGCATCTCAAGCCACCAACTTATATTTTTTCTAGGTCTCTTGCCAGAGAGTAGTGGACGATCCTAGTCCTATACAGCTACTCTCATCAAGGCAGTAGTCATTAACTGACGGCTGTCAGTTATTCCCAACCAGTTGCACAGTAGGCAAGCAATGCACAATATGGAGGTCATTGAGGCGACATTCGTAGTTAATGTCCAAGCTACCAAAGTCAGTGTTTCAAGATGGAGGCACAAATTGAGTAATCATTTGGTCTAAACACACTTCACTAAACCTCTACGTTATTAATGCGGTGTTGCTGAATATCAGCATTTCTGAGTCAATAAGACCGAACACAGATTTTTGCCTTACATCCTCCACCCAGAAAGACTGCAAGCATAGAACAAGGCAGCTTCACGGATGCACGATAAACTCGACTTTTTACAGCCAAACTTAAATTACAACGGCCCCAGATATTAACCGGATTGACATAAGACGCTCTAGCTCCCACAAGACGTAAATTGACCCCACCGGGAGTGCAGGTTCGGGGCTCCTGCCATTCTCGTAAAAGCGCTTTAAACTTACAGAGTGAAAAGCATGAGCCATGCCTACGACTACTGATTAAGGTCGGGTTGTCTAGTGTAGGTAACACCTCACATTAAGGCAATATCACCTGGATACTCAGGGTCGAGGAGTCGATCCCTCAAGTAACATATCCGTGCCACCGCCAACCCACATATATCAAAGTCGTTTTCAGAATAACATCAACAGGGAAGTTGAAGAGGAATGGTGAGACTAGGCAATCCTGCTTGAACCCAGTGTTTGGATGCAGCAATTAAGAGAGGGGGTTGTGTACCCTCATTTTGTCTGAGGTGTTCGTATATGAGGCCCTCAAGATTTTAAAAGACTTTCCAAGCACACACTTCGGCAGACAATCCTAGAGTACAGTTCTGTCCAATGAATCGAAGACGGCTCTGAAATCAAGAAACCAACGGTTGTTGACCCGCAATAAGTATGGCAGTCTCCTAATATCTAGTGGAGGGAGAACAGTACATCCCCGAGAGGAACGAAAACCAGTCTGCTCCTTCACGAATCCTTGATAAACTTCGGAGTAAGGCACAAGCCCGAACTCTTCAAAAAACTCAGTCAATTTCCTAATCGAAAGTGCGTGCGTCAACACCCTTAAAACGATATGCGAGTAAGTTGTCATGACCTGGTGATTGATGGCACTTCAGGAGTTGGAGTTCATGGCAGACGTCTGCCTCGTTAGGTCTGTCAGTCATCACCGGCTATGGAGGACGGGATAGTCTGACCGATGTCATCAGGGCAAAAGATTATTGATTGTCGTTCAATCACCTTCACAGGTCTTTTCACTCACACAAGACTCCTTGTTGCCAGTGGCTCGGATGAGTTATAAAGGTTTCCACCAGTTATAAGATGTTATTGCTGCCTCCAACTTGTCAGCATGGTCTGACTACCAGGCTTTTTGGTCCTTTAACAAAATTGATACAATTTCTCTACATAAGAATCTACGCTCATAGTCAAAATCGCATTCGATCGGCGTAGACCGACGTGCTTCAAGAAAATGTGAGGTGGTGGAAAGCCCAGTACTTATAGGAGGGAAGTTTTGTGAAACCACCAATGACTGTACTCCTCATGTTCATGGCGTCATCCAAATGTAGCTAGCGCTGATTTGCACTTTTCGGTGGGTATGGTAACTTCGGACATGGTTCACTTTGATATTTGTCTGCAACGAAAGCTACAACCAACTTACTTAGGCCAATTTGTTTAGGATGGTGGATTTGTTGGCCACTGAAATTTAACGTAAGATTAGCTCAAACAAGGGCAAAATTAGAGTGTAGATAAGTACTCCATAATGGTGAAAGTCTTGTGCAAACCACTCCAGTGGTAGCTGACTACGACAATCAACCTGAGTCCTGGCATGAGTTGCAGAGCGAAGGATAATACTAAGATTAAGTAAAGAAAAAGTATAAAATGCATCTGCAACACTGACTTGTTCTTAGCCATACTCCAGTCTAACCGAAGACTAGCTATTTTGAGGCCCCTTGTCATAAAAACTGCATATATTTATAGTGATCGGGTCAAAAGTTAACTACTCAATAAACATGTCTTCAGCTTTTGACTACCTAAACCTATTGTAAGCAACAGTCGAAACAGAGTTTCAGCGTAGGACCTAGTGAGTATGTACATCGGTTCAAGTCCTCATACCTCAATAGCATAAGGTAAAATCGTCAGGATAAATCCCAGAATAGAAGTAGTAACAGTATGAGTGGTTGCAGAAAAGACTAACGACCAAAGGTACGACTCAAGAAAATATGAATTAGTAAAATGAAGACGAAAAGTTATGAGAAACTCAGAAGTCAATAACTTGGGGAAAACAAAAAATAGGTGCACCTGGACCATCATGGACGATTTTGATATAAGTCATTCATCTATTAACATGGCTCAGTCCCATTTTCAATGTCTCCATGGTCTGGTGTCATGTTTTGGTTTGGCCGCCCATAGCTTTCTATCAACCTACTCCAGACAACACCCACCGAGTTAAGCGGGGTTGGGCATACGTGACGTATGTCCCAACCAACAATCAAGAACCAGGCATAGAATAGAATGACAGTTAACTAACACAATACGAAGCAGTCAATAAGTGGGATCAATTTTACACACAATATGTCCTCCTATACTTGGTGTGATCAGATGTCTTTTCCCGCCCATTGAACAGTCACAGCTTGCTCCCACCTGACCTATCAAAAGACTTATCCTAGTAATTAGTAAGGTTAGGAAAAATATGAAGTGCACCAAGCTCATAATAATCCCACACCAAGATTAATTTCACAGTTGTGCTTTCGAAATTAAGACTGATAGCCTTCTTGTGTTACTTATGAAGCTTATCATTTCGTGTCGCTGTAGTCATATGTGGCGTCTTTCATTTTTCATATTTAACAGGTAGTAGCAGTTCGATAAACATGTATTTCTTTCGCCATGTGGTGTGTGCTACTTATATCGACATGAGTAGTATATATAGTGAGTCAGGAGTAGAATAATTGGCAGCAGAAGCAGAAAGCAATCAGCATGGAGGTGAAGTCTGAGACAAGTGACTGACATTTGCAAACGAACAGTCAAGTTTGATTGATATTTTGCCAATTAAGTATTTACTGTTTGCTTCTCAGATTTTACTAAGATGTTCTGTACTTTTGTGCTGAAACACGTCCAACTATCCCCATCAGTGTTCGTATTCACTACACCAATACTATCCAATTTGTTTCGCTATTCAACTGTTTTACTGAACTAGTTCTTTTGCCTATTTAATAGCTGTTGGTGAATTTTCTCAACAAAATTCATTTGTAAAGAAATAAACTACTAACCGCCTTGGTGAATGTAAAAGAATTACCATTAAACAGACACTCTGCCAAAATAAATTTAATTTGAATGGGCGAATTCGCTTCGTCTACCCTGTCTACAATAACTTGGTTACTGGCGGTTTAGCATTAATAGCTTTAATTACAGTGTCATCATAGAGAGTTGGTGTATAATGGCAAGACATTTTGCTATTTCACCCAGTAACAGGATCCAAATATAAACGACTTTGCTTTGGTTAGGTTTATGAGGGGAAACAATTACATTGAGGGATAGAACGTTTTTCAAGATCTAACCAATAGTAGCGTTTCACCTATTAGCGTAACGTTTTACCGTTAAATATGCATTTACTAATTAGTATTTTTTAACAATCGAATTATATAATTTGTGCAAAAATATGATCCATCTAGTCTAGCATTTCGGTGAGATTCGATAGTTGTTTGTTTGGTACATTTATAGAAGGGTGATCAGATAGATCACACTTAAGCCTACTTACATATAAACGGTACGTAGTAAATATTTTAGATTTCTGTTCTTACTCTCTTCAATACTTTAAATAACAGACAATATATTTATCAAACTCAAGCCAGTAGCTACTGTACTAATGTGCCAAGTTGAACACCGACCTAAAGCATCAGAAGTTTCTTGAACAAAATTATTAACCGACAGTAAGACCTATAAATATATATATATATACAATCATCTTAGACATCGAAAAATCAAAAAAAGCATTTGAATTATTGAATTACCTATAAAGTGACAATATTTAGGGAAGTTACCACACCAAAATTAAATGCAAAGTTTGAATATATAAGCTTGAATATATCAGAGATTGTGAAAATCAAGCCAAAGCCTCTGGGTCCCCAGTTAGGAGTACTGATAATTCATTTACATTAGAAGGAATGTTTTCTTCTCTTCTTCTGATCAACGATTGTCTAACTGCATCTTCAATTTGTCCCAGACGTTTACGAACACGAAGAGCAGAGAGGCGCACAGACCAATCATCATGCCAACATTCTTGTATCACTTGTGCATAGCAGGATAAGTAGGTGTCATCTAACCAGCGCTGGTAAATACGAGGCCTACAATTAACATTGTCGTAATCTGGACTTATCTTGGGGGATTTAGCATTTATATTTGAGTTATTCCTGTTTGATTGGTTCGGTTGATCATCACTTATGGTCAAACTATTGCCACAAACAATATCCCTCATCTGTGAGAAGGTTGGATCAGGAGGGACCATGTCGCAGAATGGTATCTGTAAAGAAGTTTCAAATTTGAGACAATCAAAGAATATAAAGAACTATGAAAATTACTAATGAACTTTACAGAGTTGTTGGAAATTACTTGAGGTCATAACACACAGAGTTTACTATCCCTGGAGCTTAACAATTTTATGCACCTTACCCGACTAGTTCATCAAAAATAATTGAAAATTTAGAAATCATATTTACCCTTCAGGCGCCCCCAAATGCCCTGGTACGGCCGAGAGTGGAGAGAGTCCGCTATCCCTCTCGAAATGCTGTCATATGGCCACGCGTATATAGCCTCTGTCAGGGAAGTTCTACTCACTGCCTTCACGTGGCGGTGTTGTTTACAAAAGTGAGAGAACGAAAAGCGAATGTCCGGCGCTTTAACCGGGTTGGTGGACACGAAAGTTCACCTAGGGGAGTTGGAAAACCCTGATTCCAAGCCAATGGTGCACTTGGGCTCCAGTATCCTGATGTAACAAACGGCATATGAACCAATCGTTGGTCACCGACTAACATGGGACTACATCTCCTCACGATGCTCCACTACCTTGTGGATCAGATCTGTAAATCAAAGGCTCAGGGTGTGGCCTAAGAAAACCACCTGTTTCAGTTTGGGCACCCTGGCAGTATCACAGCCCTCACACAAATCAAATGAGATTTGTGTGGCGCATATATATCTAATGCCCCTTCGTACCAATATTTGTGTTCAAATAAATAAATAAATACCCTTCAGGCACAAGAAATGTTTATTAACATGTGTAAACATAACGACCTGCATGATGGCTTTGAATAAAACCATTAATAATAATAACAAAGTGTATGATGCAAGAAACACAAGTAACTTCCTAAATATTTGGTGCGCACCTTATAAATGCTTAGTTTTGCAATTTACACAATCGTCCATTATTATGTAGGCTATTAACTTAAAATACATTATCACATAAACGTACGCTTCTAAGCATCCCAACACCCTGATTTTACAGTCCACTAAATCTTTTCAGAAGTGTGTGATATACCCTTAACCTTAAATCACCCTAGTGCTGTACAGGGTATTACGTAAGAAAAATGTAAAAGTTCGTGGATTTTCACTAGTATACGAGCCCTAATAAGGCAAATGACTGGATTAAAAAAATAAAAATGCTTAACTATTGTGTTTTGTTCCCCAGATTTCAAAAATATTTATTACCTATGGAGATATTCATAGAAAAAGACCTTTCGAAATCAGAAGTAACAATCAAAACAAGAAATTGGAAATAATAAAACGTCAGTTTAGAAACTATACCAACAAAAATAATCAAGCTGAAGATATCAAATGCCCTGATAGGGCCGAGGTTGAGGAGAGTCAGCTCTCCCTTTCGAAATACCCTCTTACGGCCACACGTATACAGCCACTGCCAGGGAAGTCCTACTCACTGTCTTTTCGCAGTGCGGGTGCTGTTTACGAAATCAGGAGGACGAAAAGCGAATGTTCGGTGCTTTAACCGGGTTGGTGGGTATATAGGATCCATCTAGGTGAGTTGGAAGACCCTGATTCCAAACGAATGGTGCACACAATATCTTGAGGAGAAAAATGGCGTGTGAACCAATCGTTGGTTGCCGACTACCATGAGACTGCATCTCCTTACGTTGTTCCACTGCCATCTGGATCAGACCTTTAGATCGAAGGCTCCGGGTGTGGCCCCCTAAGAAAACAACCTGTCTCGGTCTGGGCATCCGGACGATATCACACTCGACACATAAATCAAGTGACTTGTTTGACGCATATGTATTCGGTGCCTCTTTGTACTAATATTTATGTGTTCAAATAAATAAATAATCTAAGTAAAAACAGATCTGCGAGAATGTGAGTCACATGAAACTGAGTAAATCGATATGATCCCTTTTGGTAAAACTTTATCGATTATTTGAAAAATCAGATTTTCCCAAATTCTAAGGAACTATGATCCTTTAATACATTTGATGCTTTCTAACGTTTTGCACACAAGTAAAAATATTTACCTATAGAACACTTTACTCTGTCAATAGTTACGGTCTGAAATTCATATACCCACGACTGAACTAATTTACAATTTTCATATTAGTAAGATAAACAGAAAAATGCCTTCACAAACGGTGAATACCGAAGTTTAGAAAAGTCAGTGTACAAACCTGATATCCTTCAACGAATTCAGATGTTATTCCCTGAGTACATCGTGCTAATTCCCAAAACACTAAGGCCATTGCATAAATATCTGCAGCTTGGTAAACTTCAAACGACAAATGGTGACTTCTGTCTGGACTATCAATACTTTCATTAGTTATGCCCGACGTGTTGTTGCCGGAATTGGATGATGCGTGTGTTATATCTATGGCCATGAGTAACTCAGGTGCCATGTAACGTTTAGTACCAACCCTAGGTCCAGCAGGAGGAGGACCTAAGGAGGAAGGACCAGAAAGTCCACTGCACAACCTGTCTGATTGAGTTATACCACTAGACATAACACCACTAGATAGCATTGAGGAAGATAAATTGAGAAAAGCTTGTCCAATTGGGGGACTTTGTAAATTCACAAGGGCAAGACCCAAGTCAGCTATACATGCAGTCATATCATTCATAACAAGGACATTCTTCGACTTGAGATCACGGTGTGCAATAGAAGGTTTAGCATGTAATCCTTTTATTTCTGTATGCAAAAACGCCAAACCCGCCGCAATGGAGCTGGCCAGACGCAAACCATCCTGTATTTTTAATGATCTATGACTGATGAAGTCGTGTAAAGATCCGTTAGCGTGATACGCTGTAATTAGCCAGAGCTGAGTGCATCCACCTCTTGATATCATGTCGCTAGCATAATACGCCAGGAGATTAGGATGACGCAACAATCCAGTGTTATAAATTTCTGTTTCACGAGCCCAGCTGGCTTCATCACGACTAGAAAAAATTTTAACAGCAACGGTTTCACCTTGACATGTAGCTTTCCAAACTTCACCAAATCGTCCTTTTCCTATGCACATTGTCAATCTAATATGACGTGCCACAGTTCTCTGAACAAGGAACGGAAGACCGCTTCCGCTTCCACTAGTGCAGCTAATCAGCTCACACGAAGGATCAGGATTATGCGTATTTTTTGAAGAAAGGTCATCTCCCATTCTGGGCAAGACATAAGATGATAACTTACGATCCGAAAACTGTTCTTCACTGAGTTTCAATAGATAATTGTAGATATCCGTGGTGAAGCTGGGACGTTTGTAGCTAAGTTCATTAACGTAGCGATCGTAGTTTTCTATTCGTTTTTTCAAAAAGTACTTCCAGAAAAGCATGATGGCTAGAAGTCCACAAAACAGTGCAAAGGTAGGGAACAACACTGCTGTCAAAATAGATTTCCATGTAAAGGCATGAGGATTTATTTGCACAGGACGGATTAATTCTAGCAAACTCGAGTTCCGGTTGCATAAATCCCCATCATTTGAGGAACAACAATATAACAGTTGTCTGCCAACTTTTGAATTTCGGCAGAGTAAGTCAACCTGATTTGTATTATTTGAAAAACACCCATACGATTCATCATCCACATATGTAAGTGATAAATCCAAATGCAATGAATGAAAACATCCTGTTGACGATACACAAACAGACCTGGAATATGGGCAACGGTTAAGAGGTGAACAATGGCAAAAAACAAGTAAAGGTCGGTTTCGTACACTCTTATTCATTACCACTACAAACTTTCATATAGGAAGATTCAGTTGGAAGCATGTGGGACTGAAAAAAAAGTCAGATAAAAATAATAAAGATTAATTTGAGAGTAAACAATACGTTCGAATTATTAACAAACGAACACGGTACATAATATACTGTTTTTTAAATTATTTTGTAAGTATTCACATTTAGATTAAATTTAATGGTTTCTAGGACTGTTAGAAAGAGAAAAATAATGTTCATTATTTTCAGGCTTGCAATTTTGAATCCGTGAAAAAATAATCTAATTTTGTTTGTTTTTTAAGCAACCTATATATAGAAACCTCAATATGATACACGCTGTGCTATCAACCGCATATTTATTGGAGCTATATTAGGACATAAACTACGCCTATAGCTTTTCTGAAGTTACTGCCGGTCTCAAGCCCGGGTAAAGGAGGAGGGTTGGACATGGGGTTAGCGACCCCATCCCGTAGAAAAACTAAGTCGCTAAAAAACGCTAACCAGAAAAAACAGCAACGACAGAGGAAAAAGCTGCAAGAGAAGGAAATATGAAACAGTTATATGATGCAACGAAAAAATTGGCAGGGAGATATAGCAAACCGGGGAGACCAGTCAAGGACAAAGAAGGAAACACTACCACAGAGATTCAAGAACAGCGGAAAAGATGGGCAGAATACTTCGAGGAACTGTTGAGTAGTCCAGCTCCATTGAATCCACCGGACATCGAAGCAGCACACAATGACCTTCCGATAGATGTCACTCCACCAACGATCGAAGAAGTCAAGATGGCCATCAGACAAATCAAAAGTGGAAAAGCGGCAGGACCTGACAATATACTAGCTGAAGCTCTGAAGACAGACATTGAAGTAACTGCAAATATACTTCACCTTCTATACAAGAAGATTTGGGAAGAGGAACAAGTGCCAACAGACTGGAAAGAAGGATACCTTATCAAGATACCAAAAGAAAGAGATCTGAGCGAATTCGAGAATTACAGAGGCATCAGTTTGTTCACAGTACCAGGAAAAGTTTTCAACAGAGTGCTGCTGAATCGGATGAAAGACGCAGTAGACACTGGACTTCGAGATCAACAGGCTGGATTCCGTAAGGATCGGTCGTGCACAGACCAGATTGCGACACTATGGATCACCGCTGAACAATCAGTTGAGTAGAATTCATCACTACATGTCAACTTCATTGACTATGAGAAGGCGTTTGACAGTGTGAACAGGATAACATTATGGAAACTTCTTCAACACTATAGAGTTCCTCAGAAGATTGTCAACATTGTCCAGAACTCATACGATGGACTACAGTGCAGAGTCGTGCATAGAGGACAGCTGACAGATGCATTTTCAGTAAGGACCGGAGTCAGACAAGGCCGATTACTCTCCCCCTTTCTCTTTCTTCTGGTGATTGACTGGATTATGAAGATTTCGACGTCTGAGGGGAAACACGGAATACAATGGACAACTCAGAACCAATTAGACGATTTGGACTTCACAGGTGGTATAGCCCTTCTATTTCATACACATGAACAAATACAAACGAAGACAGCAAATATAGCAGCAGCCTCTGCATCAATAGGCCTCAACATAAACAAGGGAAAAAGCAAGATTCTCAGATACAACACGGAGAACACCAACCAAATTACATTTGATGGCGAAACTCTGGAAGAGGTGGTAACATTCACGTACCTGGGAAGCATCGTTGATAAACAAGGGGGACCGGATGCAGATGTAAAAGCGAGGAATGGCAAAGCAAGGGCAGCATTTCTACAATTGAAGAACATATGGAACTCAAATCAACTGTCAACTAACTTCAAAGTGAGAATATTGAATACGAACGTTTAGACAGTCCTACTGTACGGAGTTGAAACGAGGAGAACTACGAAAGCCATCATACAGAAGATACACAAATCGAATGAGATTTGTATGGCGCATATGTATCTGGTGCTTCCTTGTACCAATATTTATGTGTTTAAATAAATAATAATAAATAAGAAGATACAAGTGTTTATCAACAGTTGTCTACGCAAAATTCTTCGGATCCGCTGGCCAGACTCTATCAGCAACAAGTTACTGTGGGAGACAACAAACCAGGTTCCAGCGGAAGAAATCAGGAAGAGGCGCTGGAAGTGGATAGGGCACACTTTGAGGAAATCAGTCAGTCATCAAGCTACAACGTAGGACCAGGCACATATATGCATCAGTCCAAATTGCTATACCTCGTTAGCACAACAAGATGAACACCGGATTCATAGAAATAGTTAATTTAGCGGTGGTAGTATATAAAAGATAGGTTGTATATAAAGATATAGTATCGGAAGGAAGAACGTTATGAAGCAATTTTAATCTTAAGGTTTAAGGGAAGATAAAGAGTGTATACATCTACGCTATTGTGATCGATTCTGAGCCATGTCACCTAGAGTCGCCAACCATTGGTTACGATAGTCACGCGGACCCCAACCAGGTAGTCTGCATCTGCCAACATGGCTCAGACTAGAAGTTAGTGACTTCAAGCACTGGTGCCACGTTTTGGTTTGGCCGCCCTCAACTCTCTTCCAACCATCTCCTACACTAGTCAGCATAGCTCGTCGTGTTCAGGCATACGTAACACGTGGTCTAACCATCTCAGTCTATGAAGATTCATGACCTCATCAACTGATTTACCATCATTTCCTAATACACTGTGTCGAATCTCACTATTACTTACCCGATGATCCCAGCAGATGCGAGCAATATTTCTAAGGCATCTGTGGTCAAATACTAGTAACTTACGAGTATCTTCTACTCTTAATAGCCATGTTTCACAGCCTTAAAGTGAAACAGAACGGACTGCTGCGCAGTATACTCGTCCCTTAATTGATAGACAGATATCTCGTTTTCGCCGTAGGTGACGTAAGTTGGCAAAAGCCAAATGAGCTTACTGAATCCGTGCTGAGATTTCGTCAGACACTAACCCATTAGGGCTGATTAGACTTCCAAGATAAGTGAAGTTGTCGACGCGTTCGACTACTTCGCTCCCTATCCTTAGTTCAGGTGTTGACGCAGGCCAGTCCTGGAGTAACAATTTACATTAAGATGGGGAGAAACGCATCCCAAACATCCTGGCATAATTACTCAGTTCTAACAGAAGACTCTGCATTTTTTCAGCGTCTTCATCAAACAGGACTATGTCATCTGCGTATTCTAGGTCGCTTAGTGGACCCCCTGGTAGGAGATCAATGCCTGAAAATTCAGTCGACGAGAGTGTTATTTCCAGCAACAGGTCTATAATGAAGTTAAACAAAAATGGGGATAGTGGATAGCCTTGACGGACACTACATGAGGTTGTAAAATCATATGACAGTTCGCCATAAGCTTTCACTCGACTTGTGATGTTCGAGTAAAGAGCCTTCACAAGGTTTATGTACTTCTGAGGTACACCTTTCAATGACAGACACTGCCACAGAACCTTTCGGTCTACAGAGTCAAATGCTGCTTTCAAGTCAAGAAAAACTATCATTGTCGGACGCCGATAAGCGTGTCTGTGCTCTAAAACTTGACGAATGGTGAATATGTGGTCGATACAGCCACGACCAGGTCTGAAGCCAGCCTGATTTTCTCGTGTTTGCAGTTCACAAGTCTTAGTTAGGCGCCCGATAATTATTGAGGCTAGTATTTTAGATGCTATGTTAGTCAGACTAATCCCTCTATGGTTATCACAGGATGATTTGGACCCCTTCTTATATATTGGGACAATCAGTGATTGTGACCAGTCGGATGGGATTACGTCCAACTCCCAGATTTTAGATAGAATATTAGTCAACCTAGTCGCTAAAATTGGGCCACCATATTTAAAGACCTCTGGAGCCAATCCATCAGGACCTGCTGCTCTTCCTCGTTTCAGATTAGTTATAGCCTTTTGTCTGTGTCTGCGTCCTACTGGTCGTAGAAAAGACACTGCAGGGAAGCCTCTAAGGGTTCTACTTAATGATAGGCAAGCTAAGAATATATTTCAGGAACAACTAGAAAAACAGTTAGGCAGCCATGTAAGTTGTGTCCACCCCGAGGCAGCGTGGAATGACATCCGAAAATCTGTGGAAACAGCAGTGATATCCGCTAGTAAGGTAAACCATAACGTTAGGGAAAAACAATGGATCTTGGCAGCATCTACCGCACTGATAGATGCTCGTAAACTCATCCCACCTGGCTCTGAACATAACGAAGAGCGGAGTCAACTTAAGCGCAGGCTAATAAGAAGCCTACGCAATGATCGGGAACAGTGGTGGGTAGCGAAAGCAAGAGAGATGGAAAAGGCAGCGGCAATAGGTAACAGTAGGCAGCTATTCAGACTCGTTAAAGAAACCGGTATTAGGAACCCGAATATCAGTGAAACCATCTCAGATAAAGATGGGCATATTATTCATTCTCAATCCAGGAGATTGGATCGATGGGCAGAACACTTTAGGGATCAGTTCAACTGGCCTTCAGCCACACTTCAATTACCCACGATCCCCAGTCGTCCTGAATGGCAAATTGAGGTAAGTCCTCCAACCCTCTGAGAGGTTGAAAAAGCTATACGAAATCTGAAGCTAGGGAGAGCAGCAGGCCCTGACAGGTTGACCCCTGAGATTTTTAAGGATGGTGGTCCAGTACTAGCAGTGAGATTGACTGAGGTCTTAGGTAGAATCTGGGAACTGGACGTAATTCCATCTGACTGGTCCCAATCACTGATTGTGCCAGTCTATAAGAAAGGACAAAAGTCCTCTTGTGACAATCACAGAGGGATCAGTTTGACTAATATAGTGTCTAAAATATTAGCTTCAATAATACTAGGTCGCCTAACCAAAGCTCGTGAAGAGCAGACTAGAGAAAACCAGGCTGGTTTTCGACCTGGACGTGGTTGCATAGACCAGATATTCACCCTACGTCAGGTCCTAGAACATAGACATACATTCAGACGTCCCACAATATTAGTATTTCTTGACCTTAAGGCGGCATTTGACTCCGTTGATCGTGAGGTTCCATGGCAGTGTTTGTCATTGAAAGGCGTATCAAAGAAGTACATTAACCTCATAAAGGCTCTCTACTCGAACACAACTGGTCGAGTTAGAGCCTATGGCGAACTGTCATCAGAACTGATTACCTCAAGTGATGTTCGTCAGGGCTGTCCACTCTCCCCATTCTTCTTTAACTTTGTCATTGACATGCTTTTAGAGATAGCACTTTCATCAGCTAAACCTCCAGGAGTTGAACTTTTACCGGGAGGCTCACTTGTTGACTTAGAATACGCCGACGACATAGTTTTATTCGGTGAAGACTCTGACAAAATGCAGAGTCTTCTGACCACTATAAGCAACTATGCAGGCATGTTCGGGATGCGATTCTCTCCCTCGAAGTGCAAAATGTTACTTCAGGATTGGGTTGCATCGACACCTGAACTAATGATAGGGAGTGAAGTAGTTGAGCGTGTTGACAGCTTCACTTATCTTGGGAGTCTCATCAACCCTTGTGGTCTGGTATGTGACGAAATCTCAGCACGGATACAGAAGGCTCGTCTAGCTTTCGCCAACTTGCGTCATTTATGGCGTAGGCGAGATATCCGTCTAGCAACCAAAGGACGGGTTTACTGTGCAGCAGTTCGTTTTGTCCTACTTTATGGCTGTGAAACATGGCCGGCAAGAGTAGAATATATTTGTAGGCTACTAGTTTTCGATCATAGATGTCTTCGAAGCATTGCTCGTATATCCTGGGACCACCGGGTAAGTAATGCAGTTGTTAGGAAACGGGTACTAGGTAAGGATGGCAAATCGATTGATGAAGTAGTGAAACTTCATCAGTTGAGATGGCTGAGACACGTGTTACGTATGCCCAACCACCGACGGGCGATGTTTTATGGTGTAAGAGTAGGTTGGAAGAAAGCTATAAGCGGCAGCCCAAAGTGTGGTACAAATCCATGAAGTCACTGACAAGTGGACTGTGCCATGTTGGTAGGTGTAGATTATCTGGTTGGGGTCCGCGAGATGATAGCAATCGATGGTTAAAGACCTTGAATGATATAGCTCAAAATCGTTTGCAATGGCGAAGTTGCATCCACTCTTTGTGTTCTACCAAATTCTAATCTTCTGAATTCCTCATGTCTTTATCTTTTTCTCTTTCCAAATTTATTTCACTGTACTATACTCCTTCAATAATTTCTTCAAACCCTAATCTTTTGGATTTCTGATTATACTCCTACTACTTCTACCACTATGGGATTTGAATCGACAACTTCACCTCTGTGCTAATGTGGTATGGCAACTCGAACTGATTTACGTATGTACGAAGTTCTAGGTTGTGACTGACTGACTGATAGCATTTTGAACTTCGGCTAAAGTTGGGGGGCCTACCTCAATGTTCTATTCAGGCTGTCTGGGAATAGTGGGTAGTTGTGCAGTAGCTGAAGGCCAGCTAAACTGCTCCTTAAAGTGTTCTGCCCATCGTTCTA